GCAATGCTGGCATCCTCTTCCTTTAGGCATCTATTGTGGCAGAGTTTATGCTCAAAAGTTAAGATTTTGATATACCTACTTAAACCAGATCATGCCTGAATGAAAAACTTGAACTGGTCAAAGAAAATTCTAAACTGAATGAGAATTCATTTAAATAAAGTTTGTAGCAATTAGTTGAAAAACCAAATGCATATGATGCCAAATCATTAAAAAATTCCTCCCTAAATCCTCATTGATGAAATCATTGAAATATTAGAAAAATATTAAATACTTTAAAAAAAATTAACACCATTGCAAAATTATATAATTTCAAAAAACACAGGCTGGGTGAAAATATTTCTATAGGTCTTTGAAAAATAAAAATGGTTGATAATAATAATATAAAATTGTCCATTTTTAAAATAATAACTTATGGTTGTGCAATACTTTTAAAAGTATCGTAATTGCAATTTTTTCAGAAAAAAGTAAATAATTTTCTGATTACCAGTTCTTTTACATAATATTTACTATCGTTCAGCGTCTACATGAGCGGGAGGGGTAGGAACAGTTTGCATCCTATTTTTTTGAGGGGGTAGGGGGTAAGCTGCTTTAATGAGGGTAGGATAAATTTTTTTGGGGGGTTATCTATTAAATTTTGAGATGAAATAAGACAAAGTTTATTGCTGTAAAAATTAATACTTTTATTATAGTATTATTATAATACAATTCATCGACCAAATCAATATTGCAAACAATCATACACATTGTTTTCCAAATAAACTATTCTTTTAAATATAATTTAAAAGGTTTAGATATTTCAGCAAGCTCATAATGCCATAATAATTAATTCATTGTAAATAATGGAGGTTTTAATTAAATTTATTATCTAAAAAATAAATTCTTTATATTCACAAAATATCGATTGTTGGTAGTAGATAGATTAATTTAAGTTATCCTAAATTATTTGAAAAGAGTATCAATAAATAAATAGGTGAAAATAATGATAAAGAGACATCGCCGCCGAAGACGGCGGGGATTTTTTAGGGGGGTAGGCATAGGTTTTTGAAGGGGGTTTGCATCCAGTGAAAATCCTGTCATGTAGACGATGCTATCGTTTCTGAATATACACTTTTTAGAAAACATCTATTTATGTAGCGAACAGTGTGTGATATTATGAAATAATTATAATTGATCTAAAAAATCTTAACATTGTGAAATCATAAAGGTAAAGGGTTAAAAAAAATAACCTAGTATTCTTATGCAATTAAAAAATAGAATTGGGATTTGTCATATAATATGGGTAATTCCATGACAAATCGACCAACGATTCGGCCGACCAACTCAAAAAGGAATGAAACTTGGCATGTTAGTTATTTATGTTGTAAATGTTAATAAAATCTTAAAGTGCTAGGATCCAAAGATATACGCATTCAAAGTCAAAAATCAGGAAGTGCGTGATTCATTAAATCTTGTTATTTTAAAAAATATTTAAGATGGAGTTACAAATTATATATCATTTTATAGCCCTTAAAATTATACGTTGGAAAATATAAAAAAAATTAAAAAATTTCAAGTGTTTTCTTATTTGGTAAAAATAAAAAATTAACATTGTTAGGAAGGGATTTTTTTGAGTGTTAATATTCAGTAAAAATGTTTATTACCTTTATATTAAACGATTTAATTATAAATCTCGATAGCCATTTTTGTTTTTAATTTTATTTGATTTAATGCAATATAGATGGCGTTATATTAATTTTTTTTATAATAGTGTTGTGATTAATATTAAAAATCAATTGAGTATAACCAAGAATGATGTCCTGGGGCGATATGTAAGCAGGCAGCCGATATAGTTATGATTTTATTAGGACGCTATATTGTAAAATAAACATATTTTAAAATTTTATACACAAACAATTAAAAATAAATACCTCTTGTTTTAATCTTAGCCCATTTTGTGCTTATTAATAGAATTTCTTGAGACGATAATTTGTGGGTACGTCCTGTCACTGTAATAGGATCTACTATTATTATTATTTGATATGGGTAACCATATCTTTTCCGCAATTGTGGGATAAAAGAAGGATGGTGATGTCCAAGGTAGTTTAATCTCTTGTAAATATTGTTCGTTGGTTATATATGTAAAATTTACTGATGGCATGTTTTGTTTTACAAATTGATAAATCAACTGGCGTTAAAATGTGTCAGAACTGATGCGCTGATGGCTTGAACACACTGCTAATCTTTTCAATATTATGCCAAACCCATCACATGGTCCTTTTCCGTGGGATGTAGCTTAAAAATGCCATTTAGCTGCTACACCAAAATCTGTTTCATGATAAAACAGATTTATAAAAAATTTTCTATTTTTATATTGTGCAGCCAGAGTTGTTAAACGCTATTTTTAAAAGTAGCGCGTTACCGCTATAGCTATTTGCCAAAAAAAGTAGCGCGCTACCGCTTTCGCTATTTGTCAAAAAAAGTAGCGCGCTATTAGCTACTTTTAAGCTAATTTTTATAAAAAAAATTTTAGAAACAAATTTTTTTTATTTTTTTTTGCTTATAATGTAAATGTATAATAAATAATATATAAAAATCAACATTTATAAATATAAAAATATAGTTAGTTTAGATTATAAAAAAATAAGCAATATAAATAAATATTTATTTTAATTTGTTTCATTTTAATAATAATATCATTTCAATATTATCATCCCCATGTCTAGAGCGACGATCAGAAAGTATAAGCTTTGCTTTACTAAATATTCTCTCGACACTAGCACTTGAGGGCAAGGAAGCTCTAAAAATATTTAATCAGATCAATTTATAAATATAAATAAGTTTTTACCTTCTGTTATGTGTCCAACTATCTGCCGTGGTACATACATAAGATATATCTGATAACTCTGTCGTCTATTTTATCATAAAACTGTTGTGCCAGGGGATAAAGTTTTAATCATCATAGTAAATGATGGATTATCAACCAAGGACAATGGCCGAACTGTGTCAATAATAAAATCAACAATTACTTTATCAGCCAATTTTTGTGAAATATTGGCATGTTTATTATCAGTTAATTTGGTTTGGATAGTATTTGTCTTTTTGAATGAAGATTCTCCTATACCAAAATTTTTTATATGTTTCCCTATTTCCTTATAGAAATTGGCGTGAACAGTCTAATAAAATAAATAATATTATAATGTAAAAATAACAATTTACCTTTAGGTGTTTCTTCAGGTTATAGCTACTCGATTGATTTGATGATATATTTTTTTTACATTTTAAGCACAGGAATTTGAATCCAGATTTTGTTTTAATATTTATTTAAAAAAATTTTTCAAATCTAGGGAATGGGAAATCGTTATTAGAGTTATTAAGTACATTTTCTTCCATTGAATCTTCCATGTCTGAATCACTTTCAAGAATTTGGATATCCATGGGCGATGCAATTTTAGATTATTAACACAGATTGAAAATATAAATTAAAAATTGAAAATATATTTAAATTTCCAAATTAAATAATAAATTATAATTAATTATGATATTATATTTAAATTTTCATGTTTATACTTACATTCATTATATTTTTTAAAAGTAGCGCGCTAAAAAATTAAATAATTTAAAAAAAAGTAGCGGCTATTAGCTATAGCTACCAAAAAAGATAGCGCGCTAAGTAGTGCGCTACAAGTAGCGAGCTACTTTAACAACTCTGTGCAGCTAATCCGGAGCAAAAATATATTTTGTTTGGCTTTTTGCTGAATAGGTTGGTGAAAAATTTTATCATTTTAGTCTGGTATAAATGTACTGCAATAACATTATGTTGAATTGACTCTGATATTACCATATAATTAAGGTTTTCTGTATTGCCCTTATTATTATAATATGCTATAGGATGGATAGTGGCTTGATTATTATTCCAGTGGAATCCTTGAAAAAGGGTTGGATTATAAATGCATAATTTTATGAGAAATCACAAATATCATGAATTCATTTGGTTGTAAAAAATGTTTAAGTTTTGAAATATATGATGATTGATTGGTAGCGATGATAGGAATAAAAAAATAAAATAAACTGATAAAATCACTATTTTCAAATAATAAGATCCACAATAATGAAAGGATATGTATATACAAATTATGGCCTTAGGAATTTCTATTAATCAGTGCAAAATTATATTAGTTTGAATATAAAATTTTAAAATATGTTTATTTTACAATATAGTGACAATAAAATAATATCTGTATGGGCTGCCTGCTTACATATTGCTCCATGACATCATTCTTGGTTTTACTCAATTGATTTTTTAATTTTAATCACAATACTATTCATATTTTTATTAAAAATTATATATTATAAAAAAAAATTAATATAACGTCATCTATATTACATTTTTTTATTGATAAAAATAATAAAAATTCAAATAAAATTAAAGAAACAAAAATGGCTATCAAGATTTTTTTATTAAATCGTTTAATATAAAGGTAATAAACATTTTAATAAATATTCCAAAATAAATCCATTACTAACAATGTTAATTTTTTATTTTTACCAGAAATAAGAAAACACTTGAAATTTTTTAATTATTTTTTATATTTTCCAACGTAAAATTTTAAGGGCTATAAAATGATATATAATTTGTAACTCTATCTTAAATATTTTTTTAAAATAACAAGATTTAATGAAATAATGCACTTCGCGATTTTCAACTTTGAAGGCTTATATCTTTGGATCTGATTGAGCTAGCACTGTAAAAATTTTGATTTTATTAATATTTACAACATAAATAACTAACATGCCAAGTTTCATTCATTTTTGAGAAGGTCAGCAGAAAATCTCGTTTTTTGGTCGATTTGACATGGAATCACCCTAATTTAAAAAAAGGCTAAAATAAATTTAAAACTAAAACTACAGAGTTAATGGGTCAAAAATTAAAAATAAGAAATAGATTAGGCATTGATATTTTTAAAAAATCTAATTTCTACAATTTTAAAAAGTGTGATCTATATATCAAATTTGTTAGATAATCCTTTTTAAAATATTATGGCATCAAAAGGATGAAGCTGTTCATATTGACTATTTAGAGTTTATTTCTGGTTCAAGTGACAAACATTTTGATGGTTTAGGTTCTATAAATAATAATGGTAATGGTTAATAGCTGTTAGTTTGTTGAATTTTCAGGTCGATAATATAAATAACACAACATTTAAACAATATATAAAAATTAAAAGCATCTTTTAAAAACCAGTTTCAGAAAAGTTCATGCTAAATTTAAAATGGGTTATGACTCATAGAATTGTCTCAGTTCCAGACTTTACATTTTGTTATTTTTTTTTTAACTTTAAGGGTTAGGATAAGTAGTAAAGTTTTATATACAAAATATTTCTGACTTAAAATAATTATTAAGTTATTCAACTAATTATATGCACAAAATAATATTGATTACATAGCATCTGACAAATTTTATATTTATAATCCTTAACTAAGTACATAGAAAGATATATAAAAATATATTCAAACCAAATATTTCCTTAATAATTTATTTAATTGTTTGGTGGGATATCGAGTTTTTCCAGACAAGGCTATTATATTTTCATTTTCAATTTTTTGTTTGGCTAAGGTGTTCTTAAAAGATATGTAGAAGTTTTATATTTTTTTAAAAATTACTTTATGGTCATCATAACATGTTTGGAAACCTTTAATTTCTATGTCACAATATTCTTGAGAAAAATCATTTTTCTTTAAACAAGCTAGCAGATTAAATATCTCTTGCAAGCAAGATACACCTGTATAATTATTATAAAACATTTAGTTTTTATAAAAAAAATTAAACTTTTATGAGATTTCTCTACTTTATAACTCACTTCTTGTTTTAATTTCATAGGTAATATAATACTATTAGCATAAAGTTCTTTCCTAGCATAATGTTTTCGCATATAAAAAGAAGGGGTATACAAACGCATTGCTTTTTTTTAAATTTAAATTTATAGGAGCTTTCCTAAAATGTGGAGATTGATGACAAGTCACGTTAAATTAAATATTGAAATATCATTTATAATTTTTTAAAGTGCGATTTACAAAGATTGTTCGATTACATTTTTAGCCATTTGAACCTATAATAAACACTATGAATGATCACTCCTCGTTTTTATAAACATGCACTTCTACCAAAGGTCGGGGGGGGGGATAAAATCCTAGATGATGACATTTTGCTGAAACAAAATGATTATTGAGCATATTTAGATATTTAATTTTTGCATTGGGCCACAGTCGAGTTGTCTTTTAAAGCTAGACCCTGGTCCGAATCAAAGAAAGAGTCTTCAATGTTCAACCCTGATCCCATTCCAACCTTTGAGCAGTCCCTTTAGTCTCTAGTTGGGGGGTGATGATTATGATACAATGCGAGAATGGCCCAATTCAGGAATTTTTAACATAAGATTCATATTTATATGAAATATATTTTAAATTAAAAAAATATATGAAGCACGGGGTAAAATTTAAGGTCATAGATATGGTTTAGGGTTAATTAGTTTGAGAGATATGGGTTAGAGTACATATTTTTATTCTTTTTTATAATCTATTTATAGAATAATAGCAATATAAATCAGCGATGCTAACGACAATTTCCTTGGATTAAATTATAATTAAAATATTTTTATAAAATGTAATAAAATTTTATACAGATAAGAAGATTTTCATTTTTCTTACTAATGATATTGGCTAACTTTATATAAATTATTAATTGATAAAATATATAAATTATTAATTAAAAATATACAAACAAATTATGATATAGGCTTTCAAATTATCATTGACTTCTTAAAAATAAATTTAAGACTAAAATATGATAATTTTACATTAAAAAGCTAATTCATTCCTTAACTTTTCTGCATATGCAATGACGTAAGAATTTATTTTTGTATATTGATTGCGATGATCATGCATAATGAGGCTAAACTTTAAATAAAATTTTAGTCCGAATTTGTTTTGATTTGTATTGATTAAAACCTCTTACCATTCTAGACGTCTTAATATGTAGTTAATAATTTATGTGATACTTTTATGTTTATCACTAATTTCGTTTGTTTATAAGTATTATTTCTTTCCCTTTTCTAAAATATATAATGTTTTACCCTAAAATGAAATACCCAATTTTAATTCACTTTACATAAGGTGAATAATAGTGTTTAATTATAATATGTGACATCTTTTAGCAACTTGAAAATATTAATTTGATTAAAATTAGAATATTTATTTGGAAGTCATATCTTTTTTAAAAAACATAATTTTTATAAATAAGTTTAATATTAAGTGAAACATTGATAACATATTTTAAATAGCTAAATCGTTATATCAAAAGTACAATGAATTAAATTAAAAATGACATATGTAGGTTCTATCAGCTTTGTCATATAAATTCTTCCGTTATGCTTATCAATTATAATAAATATTAAAATTATGCATGAATGAGTATAACATGACTTCTATTAAAGAAATATTATCATATTTAATTTAGATTATTAGTTATCTATATTAAATCTAATCAACTATAATATATATTAATATAAAAGGGTATAGTTATTATCTATCCGATATGACCGATTTTTTATGTAGAAACACATTTTTGTGAACAATTATTTCAATTTCAACTTTATTTAATATATAACTTTGCTTCAATTTTAATATATTTATTTGTAATTTTAAAACATTTAATTGCAGGTACATTCTTTTTGCACATAAAAAAAGTAAGAATATTTATAAACTTAGCCATAGTGAGAAAAAGAAACATATATTTTTTACTAATTTTGAATTGAAATCAATTTCCCCTCCTTTTATACTTTTATGAAAATATAAATATTAAAGTAGAATCCTTTCTAAAATAGAATTTAGATCCTCCCTTTGACTTGCTTTCTTTAATGCACTCATCCAACATTCTTCAACCTTTTAAAAAATAGCGATTTCTATTCCCTTCACTGGGTTGATATTGTGAGAGATGATAGACCTACGCCAAATGGCGTATTAGCAAGAAATAAAAGATACATTTTTTCTTATTTATACGCATTTTCCGAATCGATAAAAAGTTCCGAAGTTTAAAAAACGAAGTTAATTGCCCAATATTTTTTGATGATGTTCGCAATAGTTCTTAGTTCTTACCAAAGGTATATTGTTGATATAGACAAATTTATAAACCTTTTTAATTAGATAATAAAAAAATCTTCTTTAAACCTTTTGAAGAATCTTCAAGGGACCTAGTAGAGGTAGACTTTGTACACTCAGGCTCAAAGTTAAAAAATTGTAATTATTTACAGTTAATTATAATTATTTACAGTTAATTGTAATTCTTAAAAATCATGATTAATTTACTTTTTTAAATATTTAAAGCTATAGATGACACATTCATTAAAATCATTCAACATACATTTAAAATACATTTAAACATTTTTATAATCCAACTACCAATATTTAGAGAAAATATGCTTCTAAAATTTAGTGTCAGTAAAAAAGAAAGTCCCCCAAAATATAGGAAGTGTGCTAACTGTTCCATCACAGATGGAAACAATTGAACCAGAAAATTTACCTGATTATATAGGTTAATATTTTATAAATTATAGTTGTATTTTTTTATACTAATATTCATAGGATATGGTTTTGTTTCTTTCTTTACCTTAAATTTTAATGATTATATCCTATATTCAGAACATTCTTTTTTTTAAAGCATGATTGATTTTTAGATAGTAACATTTTATTTTTTTTTAAAAATAATTAGATCTGTTTACAGGAAAACAAGACTCCTATGGTTTGATTAGATCACATATGGTCCAGAAAAAAAAATATATTAGATTATGCTTAAGGTCAAAATACATGTGAAAGTGATGTACAACAGTATATAATAGAAAAGGTAAATAAGAATACTGAATGGGTAATGATGCAAAGTGTTGCCACATTTCACAATACCCCGATTATGGTGTATGCTAACTATGGAGCTTCATTTTGCTAGCAAATGTATCCGCTATTTAAATATGATGATGGAAATATAAAAACATTATATTAACAATTCTGGATCCCATGGTTAAAGTTATTGATTTTAAAGATTAATCACAAATGTTGATAATTTTACTAAAAGTATTTTAGTTGATTGTATTTGTCTAGTTTTTATGCCTATCTCTTTTTATTTATCTTATTTTAAGCATATTATAAATAAATATATAGAATAAAGATATATTTTTTAATCATACCATTTTTATATACATTTCATTACAACACCATATAATCTAACCAATTATTACGTTTACTTTAGATTAATTTGTATTGCTTGTACAATTTTTCCCAATTTCTAAAAATAAATTTGGAAATTTTTTTAAAATCTAAATTAATCTTTTTTTTAAATCATCAACTCAAAAATGACTATATTAATAATTTAGTATATAACATGAATATCATTTTTTAATATAAAAAAAATTGCCGCCAAATAAGTTTTAATAAAATGTTAAAATTCATAATGAATATTTAAATGGCAAAAATTTTGCCAAAATACATAATTTGACCAGTTTGAAGTAATTCTAGAAACCCTGAAGAACCATAAGAAAATCTCAAGAAGTCTTTTAGAAATTGTTATAAATATTTTCCAAATGGTAGGCAAATTAATTAAGAAGATTATGGGAGTTCATTAAGAGTAATTTATTTTTCTAAACTCTCTTTATTAAAAAAAATATCAAAAGATAAATTTATAAATTTCAACATAAATTCAATAAAAAAATTTATATAAAAAATGAGCAATTGTTTGTAGATTTGAAGCTTGCTAGGGATTGTTGTGTGTCAATTTTAAAGAATAAGTCATCACAAGGTAAAAACTTTAATGTTTCCAAGTAACCTTTAAAATAAAACATACAATATAATTTAAAATGTATTTCTTTATATTTATTATTTTCTCAATCATTCTAAATTTCCTAATTCATTGCCATCTTATTTTTATTTTATAAACAACTATAATTACTTGGAGTGACCAAAATTTAAAAAAAATGATATATAACATTACTGAAAAGATGGCAATAAATTCTGAGGTAATTGAATTCGTTTACGATATTATTTATACATCCATTTTCTTGACCACTTAGTAACTTTTTATCGATTCGGAAAATGCGTATAAATAAGAAAAAATATAGCTTTTATTTATTGCTAATAAGCCATTTGGCGTAAGTCTATCATTTCCCTGATATTGACATTATAATTTTATTCAACTAAAACTTTTAAAAATAATAATGATTAGACTCAAAAAATATTGATAATTATTGAATAAGTGGCATGGATGAGGGATAAGGTACTTTAATATTGATATCAACACGAAAATTAACTTTTATTTTATTAAATTGATTAAACTCTCCATCTTAATTTTGTATTTCCATGTACGGGAAAATATCCAAAGGATCTATGATTAAACCATATTATTGGCGCATTTAATATTGTAATAAAATTTTTACATTAAAAAAATTGTAATAAATTTAATAAAATAAATTAAAGGTGACTACCCATAGATACTATAATTAGTATTAAACCTATTTACCTTTTATATTTCCATGTGTAAAAGTGCATAGTATTGCTTTACGAAACAATCACTCAATCATAACGCTTGAGGGAAAATAAATCTTCATTGTAATCGTTCGTAATTTTACAGTGATCATTTTTTTCTTATTTTGGTATTGAAATAACATTTTTTAAAAAGGCCGCCCATCTATTTGACTATTTTAATAGTAACGCTACTAAAATATATATCAAAGCTACTAGTGGCATCGAGTCTCATAATTTAAAATACGTTAAAAAGAAATAATAGGTAATATTTATGCATATATTTTGCTTAATGATCTTAGGGCTGTGTAAATATGAGTATCAGATTTGTATCAAATTTTTAAAAATATAACTCGATTCAAAATATAATATAATTTGAACCAAAAATTAAAATAATTTTGATGAAATCTAAATGTATTTTTATGTAATTTTTAGATTCGCAATCTCCCGATATTCAAGACCCAATGCGTACTGTTATAATTTTTATTTTTTCGCATAATTAGTTTCTGTTATTGGCTGGAAATATTGATTGATGAATTAGTATGTACCAATAATATATTTTATATAAGTATACCAAGATAATCAGTGCTAGTAGTGTTATTAAACGGCTCGATTTGATTTGGATTTTAAAAACGGCTAACTCAATATCTTGGCTAGTTACTCAAGCCTAAAAATTTTGGTCATAGATGCCTTATAGATTAGATATTTATTAGCAACATCTTGAGGCTTGTGCAATATTTTTCTGGCTAGAATTTTGAGTTAGTCATTTTTAAAAAATCTGCTCAATCGAGAGTGCTTACATAATTTTCTTTCTTTGATTTTTTTAAATAATGCATTTACGTTTAAACTATCTCCCAAACGAGTTAAACAACTAAAATATAATATGTACCTTGCACTAATTTATTTATAAGCACTAATAAATCACAAAACATTAGATTTTTATATTAGTACTAAGATATAAAGATATTGCAATTTTTAAAAAAAATATGCGGAAAAATATATTAATTTTATTTAGAAATTTTTAAGAAAAAAGAAGGGAAGCAATGCTTTCCATGCTTCTATAAACGCTTTGTCGCTGAAGGTAAACGCCTCTATTTGAGCCGATTTAAAACGGCTAACTCAATATTTTTTCTAGAAATATCTCGTAAGACTAAAGTTATATCTCTTAGAGGGCACAAAGACTTAGACATCCATTAACTAAATATCTAGGCTTAGGTTATATTTTACTGCCTTAAATATTAAGTTAGTGTTTAATAGCACAACCCATATTTAAAGTAAAAAAATTTGACATAATTTTAAAAGGCTACTAAAATAGATTCGCTACATTTAGAATTTATTAGCTATAGCCCATTATTTTTTTTGGAAAAGTCTTTGTAGCCAGATAGCTACTTTTTACAGTATAGCCATGAATCCTAGTCATGTCGTATTTATAGATGTTCCTTGATTTTATCCTTGACTTTGAATCATTCAAGCCTCTAGATAAATTCTTTAATACACTTGTTCATTATTTTAAAAACCAAACATTTATTAGCTAAAGCCCATTATTTTTTTGGAAAAGTCTTTGTGATAGCTACTTTTTACAGTAACGCCATGAATCCTAGTCATGTCATATTTATAGATGTTCCTTGATTTTATCCTGTTTGACTTTGAATCATTCAAGCCTCTAGATAAATTCTTTAATACACTTGTTCATTATTTAAAAAACCAAACTACTTGCACCTTATTTTCACCCCTCGATACTTTTCCTTAACCAACATCTCATTTTATTTTATTTCATTATATTCTTTTGATTTTCATCGGAACTCCATCATTTTGTATCATGGTACTTTTATTTGATTGAACTCTAATACTCCATGCTCGCTTCTTAATCATTCATGTAAATTATTTCACATCAAAGTCATATACACAATTATACCCATCTTATTTTTATTTTCCGATGTGTTTTACTCGGAATATCTAGCTTAAATTTATATTTTTATCATCAGTGATTATTACATTATTTATTTTAAACAAGTTTTCTTTTAGTATGAATTAAGCATTTTTCTTTTGATCTTTGCATAAGAATTACATATAATACTTATTTATGGGAAAATCATTTTATTGTACAAAAAATTGAATATAGAAAATATAAAACATGATAGACTATAAAATCTGTACATTTTTTAAATGCAAAATAATTTATATACAATAATTATATATTTTCGGTTTTTGGCGCATTCCAATGCAAAAATAAAAATGTTACATAATTTGTGATTTTATTCGTAAAAGGTTTATCTGTTCGTGCTTTATTTTTATCTTACTTTCTTCAAAATATATAAGTCTGTTAATTATTCACGCCAATGTCTGAAATCAATTCCTTGAACATCTCTACAATAAACGACCGGGTTTCTAGATAAAATTGAATTTAAATTTTACATTATTATGCAAATTATTATATTTTTGTTTTCTAGTATGTAATTCAATAAGATATATAATAACGAAGATTATAATTATAACATCCATTCCTTTATAAACTTATATTATATCCCTTCTTTGTCTTTATTTATTATATTATATTTTAATTAATTAATTATTTTTTTTTGGGGGGGGGGGGGGGTTGGGTATTTTTTGTAAATTTAGATATTAGTTAATAACTTAATTATTATAATAAAACAAAATTTAATTTATTTGCCTCATTTCCGGCTTACCATTTTCACAATATTTGGCATCATATTGTACAGCATTACTCAACATATTATTATTTATGTTAGAAATTTATGAAATATGATTAGTTCTAATAAAAGTTGTATGATGGTTAATTATTCCTTTCTCCCCTCTCTCTTGTAGCTCGCCTATAATAATAGTAAAGTTATTACTATAATAAATTACAAATAAATTGTCTTTTTTACACCAAATTTTTGTTACACAACATGTGTTTTAGAATAAAGCAATTTGTAAAAAATTTATTTTAAAGACTGAAGTATTATATAAACTTGCTATAACCCCAATTCGCTTATATCATAGTTTAGCATCATTATTTAGCTCCACCCGGTACATATATATTTTATTTTATATTTAAAAAAAATCCTACTCGAAATCAGGTTTAATGAACACGTTTCTTGATATCGAGTCTATAGTATAAGAATTATCGCAAATCACCCTACTTAACCTGACTTTACGTATTTCTTGTAATTGTCCTAAAATATTGTTAGTAATTGAAAAGGATTTTGTTAAACAACAATGATTTTTATAAAATATTTTACTTGGTGTAAAAGCGTGACTAATAATGTTAGAATTATCGTTTTCATACCAAAATCTATCACCATACCTGAAATTTTTATATTGGTTACCGATTATGCAAGAAAATGTAGGACCCAATATACCGTCACTCTCTTTTGCGCCATTTTTTCGAAGAACTATTTCCGCAACTCCCCCAATAAATATATCTACGTCGTCAACGTTCCTATATAAATTTAGACATTTTAATACATTTGCAATATTGTCGTGACTTACAATTTTATTTCAAACTTATTAATATGAATTTTCGAATCATTTAAATCAGGCAGAAAGTTATCTTTAGTGATGGAAGTTTTGTGAATAACCAAAAAAAATTGTTAATTATATTATAGTGGTTGCTTTCAGGCAATCATAAAAGTTTAATTTAAATATGTTGTACATAATAATTACTCATATGTTGCTCTCATTCCATCAATAGCCGAAGGAATTATGTGATTCCTCATATCATCCCAATTCCTATATCTTAGCAAGCCACAAAATTCTCTCCATTCATTATAGCTGGGGACCCCTTGTTCTCTTCCTCGTAGTAATTCAATGCAATCAAATCCATTCCTATCCAAGAATAATAGGTGTTAAGTTATACTATAATTAAAATCAGATGGTCTCTCTATTCTTAGAAAAGTATATTTTTTAAATTATATTATAATTCCTTATAATGTTTCAGATGATTGTATTTAGATATTATGATAATTTTCGTTAAAGGTAGGCGTATTGTAAAAATATTCCCCTCTCCCTATCGAAAAAACCAATCCTAATAGCCTCCTTCTCGTAATTTACCACTCGAAGCTACTGTATCTACCAAAATTTTACTATTTGCCCTTGCCATGCTGCATTGCAAACACCACCGTAATATATTTAATGTGATAATTTAAAAATATTAAATAAACCATATTTTTCATGGGGAAGTTTAAAGAGATGATTACGAACATCTTCAACTATATGATTGTCCATATTTTGAGCATGTTGATGAAAAAAGCCTCTTAAAAGTGGATCCATTCCCTCGGGTATATTTCTGTAAACGTGTTGTGGTTGAAAAAAATCGGTCTTTAGGCTCAGAGTAGACATATGCACATTTTTGCTGTTTATTCTAAACATGTCTTTGCTAAAGTTTTATAATCAGTTATAAAATAATTTACAAAGGAAAAAAAAAATTAAGCTTAAACTTTATCAAACTATGTCCAAATCGAAAAGCTGCCGTTACAAATCCATGATCAACCGAAGCATCCACTTCTTGATTATACCCTACAAAATATCCAGTGTTCTTAAGTCCGAGTCCAAATTTTTCCAAGTTACTTTGACCCAATAGGATCGGTATAAATTCCTTGAAACATATGTGTTGAATTTCTGCAATCAAGATTCTTCTAGATTCTTGATATCTATCAAATATTAAATTTAATTAAAATATAAATTAAAAATTGCTCATAGTTATATATTTATCCTAAACATAATATATCACTATAGATAAATTTTTAAATTCGAGTGTAAATGGAAAAATTAATTCGAGTGAATCTGCGATCTTTTGATTATTAATCTATGCACTGTTATAAAAAATAAATAATAAACTAAAAAAAATAAAATGATATTTACTTACAATCTTTCATCATTCCAGCGAGGATTTATTTTTTGCAAACTTTGTGCAATTCGATTGTGTTCTCGAAAGAATAAGGTATGGAAAACAATCAATAAAGAATTTTCATTAGCTCTTGCGTCTCCTGTGTTACGAACATCATTAAATTATAAGTGAATTTATAGAATTTACCAGCAGCAAAACATTTGTAAGGTCCAGCTTTGCGTCTCATTTCGCATTGATTTGTAGTCGATATATTCGCGATAGGCATTAATGTTTTTAACCTTGGATTTAAGCTATTTTGTTGAACTTTTAATTCGCCTAAAAAAATTATTATATAACACATAATTATTATTGATAAATTTTACCCCTAGAAAAAGCTCTAAGTCTATTATTCACTTCTATTGTAGACCCATATATCGGGGAGCCATCAATATAGGAAGTGACGTCATTATTTTGATTCCTAGGACCTAAGATTTTATAATTTTAAAAAACCTAATCTACAGTCCGTATCTATAGCGGGCAAAGATCTAACCACCTCCATGCAGGTTACTTTGTATTGACCGAAGAAGGCATCGTCTTCAGGAAAATCCATTTTCATACATAAAGGATGAAGTTTAGCACTTCCGGTATTGCAACATTTTACATTACCAAACATAAATCCTGATATGGAATAAAATAAATTTTTTTATGATTATACGCTTAAAAACCTGTTGGGCTAGAAGCGAATGCAACTTCGTGATCCATCAATAATCCAAATATCATCATCATATTGGTCACCGTTGAATGATTTTTTGGGTTAGTTTGCAGAACTGCATTACTAATAATTCTAGCATTTGGTAATTCCTCACCCTTTACAGATCTCCTAGGTTCATTCAAACCTATAACAAATAAAGGTAAAATAAAACAAATATATATTATGTTATGGTCAATACGCTTATAATTTTTTTATTTATTTATTTATTTGTTTATTCTTTATTTTTATTATGTATTTATTTATACTATATATATACCATCTCCATAATCAGCCGGAATAAATCTTTGAGCTGGATAATTAGACGAACCTCTGAAAGGATACTTTATATTGTTGCAAAAACCGTCTATTTCCCTGTAAGGTTGGTCGAAACTACATTTCCTCTCGCTCCTCATTGGGTCATAATTATAAGGACATTCGCTTTCCATAACCGTAGAGTTAAGGTCTAAAGAATGCAAATATTCTGCTAATGTATTTTTATCCATTGTCTGGTGTTGTCTATTATAAATAAATAAACAGAGTGACATAACATCTTAGGCTGACTCATCCTCGCAAACGCGTAACCAATGGGGAGAATCGCAAATTTGACTGTTTTCATAAATATAATTTTAAGCTAATAAAAAATTTACACTCCTCCCTCCCCCCCCCCACTACGTCATAATTTTGCAATATCAATTAGAGTTTATCTTTGCTGCTAGTTGCATTATTAAATTTTCTTATATGAACAGGTAAATATGAATATTTTCATAATATTTATCTAGACGTTGAATTTCTAAATCTTATATAACATTTTAATTAAGCCTCGTTACCTAGGCAATTGATGTGATATAAATGCTGACTCAATTGAAGAATATTATAACATATCCATTTTCATCCGATTCTTAGATACTTTTTTATCGCAAATTAAAGTATTTTTGGATACAAGTCTTTAGCACTCTTCAAATTTTATTACCTAAAGACCCTTTTTCGCTTTCCGATGCCACTATTGGTAAAATTATATTTAGCATTTTATTCTTATGATATTGATAATAAAATCAATCAGTGAATTTGAATTGTTGTATAAATATTTACTACGTTTGGTTATTTTACCTAAGCATGCTATTGATGCGCTCAATCGGTGTAAGTAAACCTTGGCTCAATTTCCAAATATTTTGAAGTTGTTTTATATTCTTGAATTTCCTATTACAACATGTGCGAATGTAAGGACCTTTTCCAACTTGAGAAGGTTGAAAACTTATTTACGAAATGCTATTACCGAATTTCGGCTAAAAGGGTTAGCTTTGCTAAATATCTATAGAGATTTGGTTCCAAAGACAAACGAAATTCTTGAAGAATTGGCAAATTTTCCACGAAAATAAAAAATCACATTATAATTATAGTATTTAATAAATTTTTTGTATAATATTTTACTTGATAAGAAGTTATAAAAACTTGTTTTTTAAATTATTTTCTGTCAATATTTTATACACACTACAATTAGTATTTTCAATAAAATTTTATTCTATTTATATTGTATGAGAATTTAAGCTGTGGCTAGGTTTTAAAGCCAATTTTATAAAAAAAAATGACACTAAATTTTATTTCAATTTTATATTTAAAAAAAATTTATTAAATATAATATGCCTAACTTAAAATAATAAAAAAACCTTTATTTCTTCTTTAAATATTCGTAATCGCGAATTAGTAAATAAAAGCTAACCTCGCAAGATTTGCGAATGCAATTCTAAGTTATCAAAATACTTTATTTCAAAATTATAAAAGTAAAAATGTTTTGCAAGTATGAACTCAGACCAACAAATTTTAGATAACAGTTTCTTGGCCTTCTACAAGTAATTGCTTTGCCACTAAATTATCAGTATCAGAATCAGAAAAAAAGGATATAAAATATGGCATCCCTCTACCAGAATTGTTAAATATCCAGATGCATTTTCAGCTGTATCTGTATCTATTTATAGATTTATTTAATTTTATGTTTTTTATTATATTAATATTTTTTAAATTTAATCCTATTAAGGATTTAAAATATTATTAATTTTATTCAGCACTCCTAAGAGCATGGTCGGGCACTTTACTCTAAAAATTTAATGGTTACCTTCGCAGTTATTCAATGAGTAATGATGTTACTCTCGTCATCTTAAAAAAAATTAAAGGTTACGTTGCCGTTATTCAGAACATTTAAGGTTACAAAAACTCGCCGTTATATTAAAAAAAATTGTAATGCCGTTATATTAAAAAAAATTGTAATCCTTCATTTCTCTGCAAGTCATTTAAAGTAATAAAAGGCAATATAAACTGTAGCACTAGTTTCTATATATTATATCTTTATTAATATAATAACAATAAAATATTATAATTTTAAGTATTTGATAAAAGAAAGTATAATTAGTCTATTAATCGAATTAGCAAAAAAAAAAGGTGGTTAAATATGTAATATAACGAATAAAAATTTCTTGATTATGGGATATTAATGTAGTATATATTAATTTCAAATGATGGATCATGAAGATATAAAATTACTTCATTCTTAGCATCATTTAAATATTTTATATAGTCTAGCTCCAACTAGGAAATCAAATTTTTTTTGTAGGAGTGGTGGCATCTTGAGAACTGGACTTAGAAATAAGCACAAGAGATTTTATCTAGTGTTGTTAATTGGTTGGTTGTGTAAAACCCAGACCCGCGGCTTGGGTCTAAAAATTTGACCAAAACAGCTTTGAGCACGAACCCCGAGCACAGGTCTGAACCCTGAGATTTATTTTTTCTTACATTTCATTTATCCTAGCCCCAGGTGTAATCCATAGGTAGGTCTAAACCCCAGGTCTGAACTCTGGGTGGCCTGAGCACATAAAAGAGTCGTAAATTTTACGACCAAGCAAATTAACAACACTAATCTTATCTCTAAAGAGATATCTACAATAAGTTTTCAAAAAATTATCATAATTCATGTTTTAAATTTTATCAATTTAGGGTGTAAATAAATGAATGAATAAATTAAATTACCAAAAATAAACGACGTTACTCAAAAAATGTAACGATTATAGAAATATTCGTCGCATTTTTGTAAAGCTACGTGTAACGTTGTTATTGAAATAATTCCTTTAGAATACGATAAGTAATTTCGGGGTTAATTATAATTTTTATAGTACCATCATTAAGAACGACTAAAAAGAAAATAAGAAATATAAAAGGTCTATTAAAGTCATGGGATACACTTATTGAGAAAGATCCTTCTAGAGAAAATCTATTTAATTTTGAAAGTGGGTTTATGTCCTCAAAATTTATAATATATCCCGAGTGTTATTACGTGATAACAGTTAGGTAAAAAAAATGGCTTCCTGTAATTGGATATTATATATGTTTAGGTTCACCATTTTTTAATAAGATTTATTGTAGTGGTTACAATCATTAATAAATTTATTATCAACCTCCCAACCCCACCTAACATAACTGCTGTAAGATTTTGCTAAACCCCAAATGGGTAAGGATATAAATTTTAGCACCCATCAAACTATGACTGATTATTTTAAAAAGGAGTCGTGTTTTACTACATTCAAAGGATATCCAAAAATATATGAAGCTACCCTTCAGTGCACCAGTTAAATTCTTTTTAGGTGTATTTATAAATATATTTAAACGGAGCTGCCTTACTAAATAATTAAAACTAAGAGTATTTTTTATATAATATTTTATATATAAATAAAATATAAAATATTGAACAGAATTAAAAAATACTTGGTTCAATTCAATCACAATTTGAGTTTTAATGTTAGATATTCAAGTTGGCATTATGCGTACATTACATGATCATAATAAAAAAATATATCTTGATTTGAATCTTTTTATATTTGAAAATTATATCTACATTTAGCTAGATACATTTTTGTTTTGAAAAGTATCTTTTAACACCTCTACACCCTACCCTTTTATCCTAATGCCGAAAGCATCTTCAACTCGCTATACGCCACTTAGGTTTCAATCAAAATCCCCCCCCCCCCAACTCCATTCTTGGTAGAAATATTTATCTAACATATGATATAAATCTTTTTTTTAAATACATCAAAAATCAAAGAACATTACTGCATTAATTTTTTGAGACCATCGGCTGCCATGGTTGAAACAAACCCCATTTTTATTTTCATGTTCTCGATAATCTCTGCTCCTCCGGTGTTTGGGTTAGCTGTTTTATAAAAATAAATGAGGCAATTATTTATTTATTTTTGTTTGAAAAAGTGGGAAATATTTTATGACTAGCTAATAGCTCGTCAAGAATGACGGGGAATAAGGATTTTCTCCTTTATTATAATTTGCTTCTATTTGATACCTTTAAATATTTTATGTGTACACAAATATTCCTTATTTTATGTGTACACAAATATTCCTTATCTCCCCTTCGGAGGCTTAGACTCGCCCTCATTACAATCAAAAAAAATTTAATTCCCTTTTATTTGATACCCATATCAATATTTATATTCCTCCCCCTCCCCCTCAACCCCATACCAAGTTTGACCCATTAAGGCCAAGAGTGAATACTATAATTTCACTTATTTGATACCCATATAAAATTTTTATTATCAACCCCCGCCCCCCCCCCTCCTTCAACTTAGAGTGATAATTAGATATATTTTTAGAGTTAAAAAAATAAGCTTAAATTACAATTTTTGAATTCCTTCCAGAGACCTGCCGATATCATAATTTAAAGCCCGACAAGGATTTATAAAATTTAATAATCAAACCCGGCCCAAATTTTAATTTTGATTATTTTATGGCCCGACTCGAAATATTTTAAAATGTTGTTATTTAGAACAATTTCGATATAACTTTTATTTACTATTTTTATCGGGGGCCCGGGTTTTATAAAAAATATCTTAGTCCCTGTCCGGATTTATTTTATATTTTACCGGGCTTTGGTCCGAGCTTACAGAACTCTGATTCCTTGTAATTCAACTAAAATATATAGCCTTACTTATAAATAACACAGCCTTGAGCTCTTTTTGAGCCATTTCTTCTACTCGCCGCATTGATTCATCGATGACATTATTAATATCCCTTCTGGATAGCCTAAAAGCTCTGTCATCAATGCCTGACACCCTTCTCACAGAATTAAAATCATTCCCGCGGAAATTCAAAAATTCTAAAATCGATTCTAATTGACAATGAGCAGAATATATTTGATTGAATATCAGAATAAACTGATGAATAGCTATGATTGATAATAAACGTTTTATCGTTATATAAAGATATTTGGAATTTCTTTTATAAGCTAATTGAATGAATTTCATGTTATATTCTATCCACAAAAAAAATGAGTTAGTATTTTTAAAATTTTTTCAGTCTATATTAATAGTATTTTTTTAAAAGAAAATTTAATTATAACTTTAAAAGCGAAAAACAATGTATTATCAATTTTATGCTAATCTAAACCTTTTTATATTAATTATATTTATTTTAATATTATTTATTTAAGGTTATTTAATATTTTCATAAT